ATTACGTGCAGTTAAAAATTACAAAATAGATGAAACAAATTTAATAACAAACAACAATAAAAAGCAAACAAGAAAAATTTATTTTTCTATTTCATATTTTTTTTAACAAATATTTAAAAAAATCTGTGGCTCAATTATTTAAATATCAATTGTTTAATTTTTCAAAGTTATTAAATAAACAATAGTTTATTTTTAAACATCTGCTAAAGCATAGAGAAAAATCAGTTTTAAAATATTAAAAAGTTTATAATTTCAGGTTAAAAATTTAATAAAGAAATAAACAAAAACAAAAAGTTTGGGAAAAAAATGCTTTATGCATATCACGCATACAGGATAAGCAGAAATAACCAACTAAATTAGTAAAAATGAAAAAAAAATATGGATTGTTAAAACTTTAACGCCTGCCGCATGATTCGCTAAAAATCTGCAATCACGTGATCTCGATGGGGGCGGGAAGAGGATTAACGGACGGACAATGAACGGACGATCCTGCTTGAATGGCGTGCTGAAGCGCACTCGAAACCGAGCCGTACAATTCACGCGTAATTCTCGTAACTGCGATATTCGCGTTTCACTGCGATTTCCGTCTCGACGAGGTCGGATTTGGCTTTTCTGCCCGTTTCAAAGATCTCGCTTAAGGCTCTCAGCAAATGTTTCGAATCATAAAATACAAAATTTGTGCATTTTACAAAATAATATATTCCTATTCTATTTAATTTGTTGAATTTTTATTTGATTTTTCATTTTCTTCTTAACATATATGTATGTATTTGATTTTTGTAGAATTTTAAATTATTATTATATCTTACTAAGTCATTTATCCAAATTACATCTTTTTTCCTCTACGAGAGAATTTAATAATATAAATTTATGGAGATAATCCACAATTTATTCTAATTTTAATATATATAATGTATGTATACAGAGTATATGGAAAAAAAAACAATATTTACTTCTTAATATATATTCTTATTGACATCGCGCACCTTTTATTAAAATATAATTGAAAAAAATTAATTTATGCAGTGCGCAATATTAAATTATTAGTCCCATAATTAATTATTATAATAATGATAGTAAAGGATAAAGGAAAAGAGGGATTACAACTCACGTTTATAATACCGCCCCAACCGTGAGACACCCGGTATACGTCGCATTAAGCGCTGTGCGACACTGTCCCGCGACTAATTGGGAGCGGTTAATGAGGTGACGCATTTTTATTGTTCTTCCGGCTTGTTAAGCGACCTGTTTGCTTCCGTAACACGTACGCCGGGAGCCCCGGGAAGGTGCAGGGATAGCCGGGAATCCCGCGGATATCCTGAAATTGTCCCGAATACCTCGCGCGAATCCCGGAAACGCCGGTGGAATATTTTTCGCGGCTTTGCCGACCCGGCGGATTATCGACATCGATGTTATACACACGTGCGTTTATTCACACACACGTCTTCGTTTAAATAAACGCGTCCAAGCGAATTCATAATTAAATTAACTTAATAAACAAAAATAAATGAATATAAAGATGCTGGGGCATTATCAATGAGCCACGCTAAACGAAACTGACTTAGCTCGTCGAATATTATCTTACTCAGGAAATGAATTAATTTACCGAGTAATATTTTTGCATAAATTGAGATGAAAAATTAAATTATTAAACATACATAGCAGTCATATGTATATTTTTAAAATATGAAAGGTATACAATGTCTATGATCGATTATTCTAAAATATTATTTTGTGAAAATGATCGTAAATATTATTTTAAAATAATTCTATTTTGAATAATTTTTTTACAATCATATAGAAAATGTGGATGCAAGAATTTAAAATATGAATTTTTATCAACAGTTAAAATAGCGAAAATTCATAATAATATTCTAAATTAAATGATCAATAAATATGAAAATTGTGATGGCGTAGAATTAAATGACTTGTTTGTTAGAAGTAAATTGATATTTTCGTTCTTGGATAGCATGCAATTTTGAATGTTATTTCAATCGTCTCTTTAATTCAGTGCTTTTAACATGTCGATTCACATATACGTAATTGATATACGTATATAATACGTATTTTCTGGTTTTGCGAGTCACTTTACTTCTGTATAGCGTGGTTCATTTAGGATTCATTCTATTCCGCTTTAACATTACTATAAAAATCAATCATAAATATTTCACTGCTTTTATACATACAGAGTATGCTAAAATTTTTATATATATTTATCAGAAAAAAATTTATTTTTCTACTTGTACTATTTTGGAAGAGAAAAGAAACGAATTGTCTTGTACAATAAAAATAATTAAAAGAAGTAATTAAAATGAAGTCTAAAACTCAATGTAATCTTTTCTCTTCATTAAAAATGATTTTTGTCACATGATATTTTTAGGTGAAGCCGAATCTTGTGCACAGGTTGAATTTCCGGTCAGGACGAGAGGCGCAGGATTGACAGCTACATTAAAAGGATGACAAGCGAAGGATCCAGAAATCCCACGTGTAGATATTACACGTTCTCACGTAAGATGTGTTTTTCTGTCGCATTCTGTGCGTATGAGACTTTACGTTTCAAAATTTGATTCGATCGTGAATGGCAGTTCATCTTCGAATGCATGAATGTATATGTACACAATTTCACATGTTTTACTCCATTAAAAAATTTTCGCAAAAATTTTTACTACAAGAAATATTTCTGATAAGAAATATATTTCCGATAAGAACTTGTATCTATAATATACATATATATACCTGTTTAATATTTACTAGTATTTCTCGCTTAAATATAAATAGCAATTGATTATTTTTTTGTATTTTAGACGTTAACCTAAGCTGATAACAAAATCACATAATCACAAAATCTTTCAGGTTGTATATTTTTTTAAAAGAAGCCATCTTGATGTTAGACCACATGTCCTAGTAGTTGTCGTTATGTTTCATTCATGAAAGTATTCCACTCAATTTCTTGAACTTTGATGGATCAATTCTTTTTACGAGTACGTATAGCCTCAATTTTAGTTTATACATAATATTCTTCTATTTATTATAATAAAATTTTTAGAGGAGATAATTTAAATTCTTTCTTTAAAAATAATATAAAATGTTAGTTATATAGATGTACGTACATATGTATATATTATACATTCTCTATTTTTTAAAATATATTTTTCTACTAACTATATAACTATACAATCTAAAACAAAATTTAAAAATTAAATATAAAAAAAGAATTATTATTGTGTATTATACCTCGACTAATTTTAAGTGAAACTATATGTACAATTAAAATCAAGCTATTCACCTTTGTTCTACGTAAGTATATGCTTACGTACCGTTTACTGTGTAAAACAAAGTTAGCTAATCTGTGAAATTGTTTCAGGTTTAGTTACATCCAAAGTTTGCTCGAAAATTAATTTCAAGATAATTGAATATTTTGGTTGTTTATGTGCTAATTCCATTGTTTTAGTTTATCATATCTGTTGTTAAGTGTCTTTTCGTTCTTAATACATTCTTTAAAAATTAGAGTACATTTTTTTAATTATAAATTTTATTGAATACTATTTTTTTTTAGAGAATTAATGTGCTTTTAGATTAATTTGTAATTAATAAGAAATAAAGACAATTTTATTTTCATTATGAATTAAAATTTTAATTTTGCTTCGTATTATTTTTTTATCAAAATGTCCTGTTATTATTATCTTTAAAATTCAACATCAAAAGTGCACGAATTGAGGACGATCAAAAATTGGCATTGATTAAAGTGACATACTCGGAAAATCGTCAAATCCTCTTTGTTTCTTTCTCGTTAAAAAGAAGCGACAAAGAGAAACAAGAGAACGAAGAGCTGGTAAAAGGAGAAAAGGGAAGAGACACGATTTAGTTCGTGAAAGACGTTTCGTATCGACGTTTGTGCCACGACGCTATCTGTCGTGGATAATGCATCAGCTGTTGCAAAATGTCTCTGACATTTCTTTTTTCTCGCAACGAATAACTTCCTGTTTCGAGCACTGAACCAGATTACTGCAAACATAACTGCAATTAAATTTTTAATCAAAACTGAAAAATGCTTTTATCGTGATTCTAAAATATTTTAACGATCAGTTAAACACATGAAGAAAAATTCTAATATGCGAAGGATGACATTTTTCAATTTATAAAATGCATGATCCTTTATAATGTATAGTAGAAATAAAAACCTATTTTAAAAATCTATGATCAATAATAGTATCTCTATTTTGCTGATATTAAGATATCTTCCAAATTATTTATTTGTCTGTATGATGGTTCAAGTATTTTCAAGTATTTTCTGAATTATTATGTAAATAATTAGCTTAACACAATTTGACACTTCCCTCAATCCATATAGATTATTACTTCGTCGTTCCAGAACGTCAGATTTTTTTCATTAAGACACAAGCGTCCTTTTATGCGTGCAATCCAACGCAATTAAGGTTTTTTATTCCGCGCATGTGTCTCATGCAAGTTAGCCTTCGCAAATATTGCGACCGCTCGTGAATTCGCGGTCACGTTTCGCGCGTAAAATACGTTCTCGGCGCTTTCGGGTTTATACATCGAGTTTAGGGTTCGTCGGCACCTTAAAGCTAGGATAAAGCGGTTCTTTGAATGAGACTCCACTCACTCGAAGATTTATACGCGCCGCGCTGGGAAAAATCGAGCAGATAAGATGAGATGATGCAACTACGTGCCAAAGAACACCAGGATCTACTTAGAGTAGATTGTTGATAAATTTGTACAAATAGGTGAAAAAGCTTCGTAGAACGCCAGATATATATAATGCCATACACACATAATAAATTTATTGGATCAACGCTGGATCAAAACTTCTTGCAGAGAAATATAATCTTACACGATGAAGAATTAAGTAATGAATGAAGAGACAGGCGGGATTAGTCGCATCTTTATTAAAGACGCATTTGCATCATCTCATCAGACATGAAATTTCATTCGAAAGACATTTGTATGAAACACATAAAATCTAAAAATTTATAAATTACCAGTCATTGCCAGTTTTGGAGACATTCTGCCGCTTGCGTCCAGTTTGGTGAGGCTTTGGCTCGGCCACCATGTTTACATCTGTAAACAACATATGTATTAAATATATTAGAAATAATAAAGAAGACATGAAAATATAAAATATAAAAAATATCAAATGTTTAATTATATTATATTAACAATTAATATATTTGAAAAATATCAGTTTTTTCATTAAGACATTTTATTAAGTAAGAAATTAGAGTAATAAAGTATATACATATGCATCTATATTTCTTCTATAGCTTTTCTCGATTTAATTCCTAATAATAAATCTTAGAAACTGTATATACATTATATTAAACAGATATATTCATTTTTTATATTAAACAAATATATTAATCTTTAAATATTGAGACAATAATTACTGGAATTTATTATTTCATAATCAAGAAGAAACAGGAATCTAGTTTAAATTTACATTTTTACAAAAACGTTAACAGGAAATAATACAAAATTTTGCAAATTTCATCAGAATGGATATGTACATCGTATTCGTTTCTATCTGGTTAAAATTTATCGTTTTCGCGAATATACATCGACGCTTATATAATTTGCAAAATAAACGAATCGTATAAGGAATAATTGAGCGCCAAATGACGCGGATGGTGAAAATCGATTCGCAAACACGCTTGGTATATAATACAAGCGCAAAATGCGCTTTCATCGTTGCGCTGCACCGCCTCGCAGTCTCCTGACGGCTTACGCGGATTAATAAAACGAAGACGGCGACGAAGCGCGAAGTTTCCGCTCAGCGTTTCCGCAAACAGTTATTAATTTTACTGCCTTTGAGCCGGCCCGTAGCGAGATTGATAATGAATGCGCCGCGTCGTCGGCGGGCGATCAAGCGACAAGGATTTCTCATTCTTCTCGGTTTCGTCGGTAACTGAGATGGGGGACCGCCGTATTCATCATACAGAGCGATTCAAAAGTCATGCAACAGGTGTGCAGCGATATTGATCCGTACGCTATTCTATGGCGACTCACGCCATTACGTATGTCTATTTCTTCGAATGTTGGCGGCGTGATAAAATACGTAGATCATAATCTGCGAACGCGGAGTTCGCCTGTACGGAGTTATAATAATTATATAGTATGACAAACGCAATGAGAGGAATTGTCTCACGCGCGAGAGAGAATTAAAATAATAATTAAAATAAATTATGGTTGATTACACAATCGCATGATAAATTGTCAAGAATCGCATGCATATCCGCGATATCCTTTCAAAACGGTGATATGCTGTACGTTTGCGAAATCAAGGATATCGAAACAAAAATTGAAGAAAAAATAACATGTCGGAGAGCGGAGATAATGGTACTTGCTGGAGGCAGGAAGATGGAACGGCAGAACCGATAAGGAAGGAAGTGTCAAGAGGGGTGATAGAGAAAATGTAAAAAAAAGAAAAAGAAAAAAAAGAATAGAGAAAGCAGGAAAAGCGATAAAGCAAAGAAAAACTAATATAAAGGAGAAGGAACAGGTCCAATTTGATGGAACTGTTCTTCTATCTTTACGGTGGAATGGAAGAAGCAGAAAAAGTGCAGATTGAATAGACAACAAGAAAAGAGACGAGATTGTTCGGAAAAATTAATACTGTATCAAGGATTTTACTAAAAAGAGGAAAAAAGTTATAAGTGTATTTTATTATTAATTTCATTTAATTAAAAAAATAGGTATTAAGATATTAATATTAATACAGAAAGAGAGAAAGAGAGGTGAATAATAAATTAAATTTCTGCAAAGAGAAAAAACGTGTATACGGCCCACCTCTCGGAATATTTTCAATTTTATTAAAGTTAAAACGTGCAATTTGAATAAAGTTAAAATAATCATGAGATTTCACGGAAACGCATTGCTACCTTTTCCGTTACAAATCACTTTATATCAAAAGCATTTTCCATCGTGCTCCTGCAAGACGTTTGTTCGTATCCGTGTCGCTAACTTCCGGGCGTTCTGCAAACCTGAGGTTGAGGTCCTGTAGCAACCCGTACCACCACTCCTTCGCCATTCCAATCCCCCTCACGAGGGGTGGTTTGTGGATGTTCCTTGTTAGAGTAGCGGGCTGATTCCGTTGTGTGCGCAGCGGTGCGCTTCGTCCTTTGTGTGAGCTAACCAAACACCCCCTCCCTTGTTCCTGTACCTTATCCTCATTCCCCCTTCATCCTTCTGCTCCTCCATTATCGCGGCTACTTGCGCAAATTGTTTACACGTCGGTCCCTGAGCATTTCATGAGACCGTTCAAAAATTGATGATTTGATAGATGTTTGTTATATTTTGAGGGGATGCTTTACTCAAAAAAAAGGAAATGAGAGTATCTCTCGGAGGCACCATATAAGATAATATTTGATTGCTCAAAGCGAAGTTAAAGCGTGTCGATATTCGATTTCGTGAATAACATAATAAAGCTATTTGCATTGATTATTTTTGAAATAATTGACTCTGCTTTTTTAACTCTTTAGAAATAAAAATAATTATCTTATATCTAAGAGCCATGCTTGTGAATTAAAAAAAAGAACTCAAGCATTTCCTCCTATACAAAGGAGCAAAGTGTCGATTTGACTGTCTGTTTATAACGCAACGAGAGGCTGCTCGTTATCGAGCACCGCAGACATCAAACAGGCAGCAATTGCACTCGCGATTGTTTTTCTCGATCTGATTTTCCTGTATCGAAACGCGAAAATTGATTTATTGGTAATTTACTTCTCCGCGTGGCGGAAGGGAAAATCCGAGCGTCAAGGGGTTAAATGCAGCGCGGCGGAACGAAACTCCCGACATTCGCCACCGCGACGCAGCTAATCGTTGCGGGCGTCGGCGTCGCCGCGAAGTTTAGTCGATACGCGGGTATACGCGGATGCAGTAGCGCGTGTAAGAGGGAAAGAGAGAGAAAGTGTACAGTGACACATAGAGAAAGCGAGAGAGAGAAAGAGAGAAAGGGAGGGAAAGAGAGAAAGAGAGAGAGAGAGAGAGAGAAATATGGAAACAGGAGAGAGAGGAAGTCGAGTATCGATGTCATCTCCAGCACGCGGTTGAAGGGTGATTCCTATATCGCGTTGTGAATTGTTCCTCGAACTAACCGCTCGGCGATGAACGAGCGGGAATGTCGCGAGCGCGCGAGCGAGAGCGAGGGCGAGAGCGAGCGAAGCCGGAGCGGAGTCTGTAACAGGCAGCGACGCTAATGGAATATGACAACGCGAGGCGAATAATAATCGGCCGTTTCTCCGTCGCCGAACTTCGTAATAAAACGAGCATTGTCCATGACGTTTCGTCGCCGACAGCGTCGCGACGTCACGACGGACGTCGTCCCGTCGCACGCGGATTTTTCAAGTATTTTCACAAGCGCGCGTTTGTATTAATAATCTTACTCAGCGATAATTTATATATTATACACGGTATGTCGGAGAAGGTTCTTTATTAATTTTTGAGGGAGATTTTTCCTTGATACAAATTTAATTGGACTTTGTTTTACTCTTTATGATCCTTAATTGAACATATATAATCAGACAAATTTAATAATTATTTTCGATGCTAGAATAGAAATCTTGTAGTATTTATATTTATTTAAAATTGGCTAGAGATAGAGCTGTAGATAGCAAAAAGATTAATTTATTTATTTGATTCTGTGTTTAGCTATATATAATTTTCAGTATTACACAGTTTCAATCATTTTCCGTAAAATTTTCTCATTTTATGGCGAAATTGAAGCTTTTTTCTCAGCGAAAATGCCTGAATGCTAACAGTTTTCATACGTTAAACGATTTAGAAGAAATGGTTGAATTAAATTTCATAAATTATGCATAAATCATGAAATCCCTATCTTTATTTCCAACATATCTTGATAGATGTACAATTTCAAACTTAATGTTACACAAACGAGGCGATATTAAAAATTTAAAATTATTAAAAATTATGATTAACTTGAATATTTCGTTGAAAAAATAAAGTGAAAAAATTCCGAATATTAAAAGAATTATGAGAATGTCCGAAAAAAATTGAAATACTTTTATGTACAAATAACTTGATAATTAATTTCCAAATTAAATTTCCTTTTATTTTTTATATTCAGTTTTTGCATATATTACAATCCCGTTCGTTAATTACAGATATATCAAAATCTGATATGTTAATCGTAAACATATGCGATAATTTATTATGAATGCATCGCTATTATGTAACTCATACAATTTGGTTCATCTCACAAAATATATAATAAATTATATCGTAATGATAATTTATATTATCGTTGTACTTCTAACAGAATTTATATTGAATATGAGGAAAATAATCCTTTATTTAATTTAAAAGTGAGATAATTAACCGCTTAAGTACATGAATATAATAAATTAAAATATTCTAATTATTATCTACAAGTGACGAAAAATGCTGCAAATTTACGTATGCATGGAAATTTGTTATAATTATGGTACTTATAAAAAGAAACCTCGCATTTTAAATTAAATTTTAAGCAAAATTTAATTTATTAAACTGGTTTATTATTATGTGACACGTAACAAATTATTTTATATTATTAAATAGTAATAAAATAATAATTGTATTCAATGTCAAGAATAATTGATAGGCTATGAAAATTGCTGACAATATGACCTATATGACTACTATATACCTATTAATTTTATAACCGCAGACCGTTAATCACAAGAGATGCCAAATTGTTAATTCATCAATTTATTTATGATCTTGCAGATCGAGTAATTAATGTTGCACGTGGGCTTGACCGGGCATATTTCGATATTCAATTGTATTCGAAAGCGATAATTTCATGATGGAATTTACATTAGTCCGATAAATCTCGCAAAATACTACATAGTAATATTTAATCCGCGTGTTTCTTAATATATCTGACAATTATGTTTCTTATTTTCTTAATCAATATATACAGCGATCAAAATATACTTGATAGTTGATAAATTAGATCTATCACGTTTCGAATAATCATATATTATCAATATAATTTCCTAGAAAACATTAGAATACATAATTCTCTTAAAATTATACCAAAGATAACTTGTCCATTCATTCGCAAA